CAGCCATAAAACAGCCATAAATCTATGCAGAAGGTTCAATAAAATCCAATGATCAAAGAACTCAAAAGTGGTATGGAGAAGCTACCATAAAAGCTACCAAAAGGAAGTTACCATAAAACCCGATAATCAAAGGAAGTGAAACCAGCATGGAATGCAGAGGCAAATTTCTGTTCCAATGTGGGTTTCATAAAACAACGGAGGGAAAAGTCAATGCAGAATCAGCCGTAGACTCTGAAGTCTATGCTTTATTGGAAGGCACTACTGCATAATATGCTACAAAAGAAAACTGAATCAGATACAGGTATGAAAAAGCACAGATAAACCACTGGGCTTTATAAAAAACACTGGAAACAAAAGGTTGCAAAAATTACAGCAATCTTGTGTGTTAGTCAATCTAACTTTGAACTCCTTAATCGCATCCCTACCACACTGCTGTACTAATTTTAGCTCAGTTTCCTAGCAGGCAAGCTGATGCAGTTTCATAGTTTTCTATCCAAGCTCCAGGAAGGTTGAAGAGACAGGCCCTCACAGACTGGTAGGCCTCTCAGCCCTCACATTTCTGGCTATTAGGAGGAGGGGAGGGGAGGGTAAGGATAGGTCTTTGGAGGCCTCAAGACATCCTCAAAGCAGGCAGACCCTAAACAGAAAAGCTGCTTCTTGTAGGTCGAAATTCTTATGCTGGAATACCTCAGGTCAGAATATGGAAGAACTCCAATTTGATAAATATTGGGAAGTTACATTCCAGCAATCATAGGCTTGCCAAGTCCCCCCGGGGGGCGGGGAAACCCCCGCCCCAGAGGCCCATTCCCCACCGCCAGCAGATCAGGCCCCGGGGGGAAGTCCGCCCCCACATGCACATCACCCGGAAGTGACACGGGTATGCCGGGCACCTCTCTCCTCTGTCAATGAGCAACCCAACTTACCCAACACTCTCTGGGTGTTTTTCTAAGTTCCCTTTTCCCCGGCTGTGTGATTTCCTTTCTGCCCCTCCCAAAAGCACCACCTTTCTTCCTGGGTAGCTTGAGTAGCTGCCTTAGGGGACCACCTCTCTCCTCTGCCAACAAGGCACCCAACTTACCCTCCATTGCTGCATTTCCCTGCATCTCAAACAACCACTGTTTCACCCACACTACCTCGGTCTGACATGTGGGGACATGAAGGGGGGGGCGTGCTTATGGAGATGGGTGGATCAGAAGACTGGCCACACTGAACACAGGTGGTGGGATGTAACCCCGGTCCTCCACACCAGCAGCTTCCTCCCCAAGTACATCATCAGTGGCCTCCATGTCAACTTCCCCTGCAGCATCCACAGAGCTGGTCTTGGTCACTGCTCGAGATCTCTCACTGGTTCCAGATGGGCTGCGAGGGCAAAGTATGAGTGGGAGTGCTGAGGGTGGTGACACTGGCCATAAAATATCAGTCAAAGTATGAGTGGGAGTGCTGAGGGTGGTTTAGTGCCTGTTTAGTGCCTGGAGATTCCCAGTCATGATCCCCTGCCTGTCCCTTTTCTGTTGGGATGCCCCCCCCCCATTCAGTCCATGGTCTGAGCCTGGGAAATAGTTGTGCCTGCAGAGTGCCCCACTAATGGGTGTGGGGGTGTGCCTGCAGACTGCTGCATGGAAGTACTTCCACATCCCTCCCAGTGATCCCTGCATTGTGGAGTGCCAGGTGCACAGGGCACATGTTCATAGGGGGAGGGACGACATCACTTAACCACCAGTGTTATACAGAGGCATTTGCGTAGGTCACACGCCAGTCTGACACTGCCGACGGGTGGACCCAAGAGTCTGCCACTGGACATGCAGTGCACACTCCATGACAGGGAGAGGGAGGCCAGGAGGGGTGGGCCACTATGACAAGGTCTCCGGTCCCCGCCATAGGGTCCCCCAGGTAAACCACTCTTCAAGACACCATGCTTTTGGGATCCTCCCCAGCTCTGGGAAGGAGGATGAGGACCAGGGGTCATAAGGCAATCACTCAGCACATCAGGCAGATGATTCCCCTGGACAGCCAGCCTTTCTCTGTGGTGGAGGATGTGGGCTTCTGGGGGCTTCTACAGTGTGTAGCCCCCGGTACACCATCCCCCCGAGGAGGACCATGAGCTGGCAAGTGGTGCCCTCCATGTATCACTCTTCGGTGCATCTGGTCAAAGTCAATTTAGCCAAAGTGTGACGGTGAACCATCCACCTGACAGCTGATTGTTGGAGCAGCCGGCACCATGGCTACGTCTCCCTTACCACACACTGGTGGTAACTGGAGGAGATCAAACGTCTGTGTGGGTGTTCCCTGGGCCCTAGGCAGGGTGGGAGGGTTGGCCCTGGGTGGTGATCACATTGCCATTTCAGGGTAGATGGGCCCAGGGAGAGAGCACCACCTGCCCCTGTGTGGGTGTTCCCTGGGCCCCAGGCAGGGCAGGAGGGCCAGCCCTGCCCGGTTACCATGCTGCCAGTGGGTGGAAGGTGGGCCCAGGGAGAGAGCACTGCCAGCCCCTGTGCGTGTGTTCCCTGGGCCCCAGGCAGGGTGGGAGGGTCAGCCCTGCCCAATTGTCACATTGCCTGTGGGTGGTCCCAGGGAGAGAATCCCACCCACCACTGTGCAGGTGGTCCCCGGACCCCAGGTAGGGTGGGGAGGTTGTCAGTGCCCCGAGTGTTCACATTGCTGTTTAGTGGTGGGCAGGCCATGGGTCAAATAGCACACTGGCAACCATGAAACCTGTGCACCTCAATACCATCATCTGGCCATCTGGCCCCTAAAGACTGTTCTGTGAGCTTTCAGCCTGAGTCTGAGCAACAGATGACTCACCTCACCCTGAATCTTTCCCACAAAAGAGCTGAGTGGTTGGCCCCAGGAGGGCACAGGCACCCACAACCATGCGGGTGGTCCTCGGGGAGGTCCTCTGGGAGTTTGATACCTGTGGCTTAACCAGACAGCTGTACTCTCTGAAACTAGCATTGGACAACTCTCCCAAAAGCAGTTTCTAGGGGGACATTGCTTAGGATTCCACTCCTTGGACCCTCAAACCCAACATGCATGTAACTTGTGGGGCACATGGAGGGTCATCACAGGGAGGGACTGTGTGAGTTGGAAGCCTCTAGTACACCCGGGTCAGTTTTAGTCACTCCCGAACTGGCAGTGGTGACATCCCATTGAAAATAATTGTCTCAGGCAACCTTGTTTAGGGGTCTGCAGCTCAGCCCCTGAAGTCCAATGGGGATCAAACTTGGTGGGCACGTCAAGGAGAGGGAGCTGGAGACATCCTGCAAATTTGGAGTCTGAAGACCCAAAGGGGGCTTTTAAAATCCAGAGTGGTTCATGAACTGGTTTGCGCAGGAGTCATTTCATAGAAAAAGAGGTGCAGGAGCTCATTAGCATAACTTATTAGCATAACTCATTTGCATATGCCACACACCCCTGACATCATTGGAAGTGTGTCCAAAGGCAACACCCATCGCTCAGGCTCCACTGGACTGTTTTGGATTGCTAGCTATTGGGGGGGATGGGGGACTTGCAGATCTGTCCTCGCAGAGGAGGGAGAGCTTGTACCTGAATAAAACTTGGGTCTTAAAGGTGCCACTGGACTGTTTTGGGCCGGGTGGTGGTGGCTCTGCAGCTTACCTGGCTGCTTCTTGCTCTGACTGAGGGCTGCTGGGAGCAGGGGGTGGGGCTTGTTGCATGTGCCCGGCCCCCTGGGCTCTTTACTGCCGGAGCTCCGCTCCTGTGCGCTCCTGCAGGAAATGACCCCTGGGTTTGCGAACCAGGCTGTGGTTCGGTCTGGAAAACAGTCCAGGAACTGGGCCGGTTTAGTTTTTGAACTGAATCAGCATTTCCTGATCCCTACTCCTAATTCTAAAAATCTCCAACCATCTGTGAATTGAATGCTGTTGTAAGGAGGGGTACGTTTGGTGTAGTGGTTAGGAGCAGCAGACTCTAATCTGGAGAACCGGGTTTGATTCCCTACTGCTCCACATGCAGCAAGCTGGGTGGCATTGGGTTAGACACAGTACTCTCAGAGCTCTCTCAGCCCACCTACTTTACAGGGTGTCTGTTGTGGGGAGAGGAAGGGAAGGAGACTAAGCTTCTCTAATACTCTGTGTGAAGGGCGGGGTTTAAATCCAACTCTCCTTCTCCATCTCCATCTCCTTTAGAAAAAGTATCCTTTTTGTGGGATATTTTGATACGTACAAATCATTGTCATTGTAACATGGCAAAATAGTGTATGATGCATCTAAGTGTAGGCATAAAATTATTATTAAAGAGATAATCCATAAAATTCACTTTGAAATTAACTTTACATAAAGATATTAGATGAGCGTTATCTAACTGTTGACAAGGAATGATTTACCTTGATTAAAAAAAAAAACAAGGAACACTTTCTTTCTTTTGTAAAGTTCCATCAGAAGGTTCTTTGCGACTAGTGAATGGAACCAACAGATGCACAGGTCGTGTTGAAATATATCACAATGGCACATGGGGAACAGTCTGTGATGATGGCTGGAGCATAAACAATGCACAGGTCGTGTGCCAACAGCTTGGATGTGGATCGGCGCTATCAGCACCTGGAAATGCTCGTTATGGTCCAGGTTCAGGCTCTATTGCCTTGGATGATGTTCAGTGCAGGGGAAACGAGCCCTCCTTGTCTCAGTGCCCTCACGCACCTTGGGGCAGACATAACTGTGGTCATCATGAAGATGCTGGTGTCACCTGTGAAGGTATGGCTACACAACAGCCATTTATCTTGTAACTTCAGTTATGTTTTCTCTTTCCTGTTGATCCCATGAAGAATGATATTAAGGAAGGACAAAGGCAAATAAATAATGCCAGGACTCTGTGGCATTATATCCAGCTGAGGCCTCTCCCCACCCCAAACTCTGCACTCCTCAGACTTCACCACAGAATCTCCAGGAATTCCCCAAGATAAAGCAGGCAATCCTAGTCCCAGGACTGGCT